TCCCAGGCTGCAAACTCCTGCTTGAACCAGACTGCCTCGCACAACGGAGGGGAGAAATAAGCTTGGCACAGGGGGGAGCGTACAGGAAAGCAGCACAGGAGGGTGAAGGGTTTACAGGAGGGGATGAGTTGTTCAGAACAGCATCCAGCTGGCTGGCAGAAGGGCTCCTCTGTGATGGGTGCGTGTGGCTTTGAAGCTAACCTGCAGCAATGCCAAACAGGGGCTGCAGGTGAAGCAACAGCAGCTGGGAATGCACTTCCTTACCTGTGGAACATCACGGATTGCCTTGGAGGTGGGCTGTAGTTGCTGGGGTTTAACAGCAGTGAGCTAAGGAGAGTCCTGCCTCTTGCAGCAGGGTGGATGCACTCACATTCCTGCCTGGGATTTAAGCAGCTGCTGTTTCACTGCTTGGCTCTGGTGCTGGCCAGGGTAAAGCAGAGCTCTTTGTTCCGAGCAGTGTTTTCCTGACCCTTCTGCTGCCTTACCCCGTGGCCTGCAGAACCTGGAAATAAACATGTCTGTTTTCAAGCAGACTGCCTTCTGCCTAGTAAATGAGACACAAAATCCTTCTCACCTCCCGAAAACTACAAGAGAACGACAAACACTGAAGTCTAAACCCAAATGCAGCACCCTTATCCATTGTACTTACTGGTACAGCCAACACCCAGGGTCTTCTGTGCTTCTGCGTTAGCATTTAGGATTACTTTGAATTAAATGCTGACTCTCATTTCTCCTGCAGTCTCTCTGGGACTGCAGGAATAAGCTGCAGTTTGAGACACAGGTAGTGCACGGGGCATTAGAAAGCTGTTCAGCTGCAAACACTCCTGCTTAGGTGATGGAGGCTGGCTTGAGACAACTCCAAAGAAAGCATTTCCATTTCACTCTCCCTCACTTTCTGCACCGTGCACAAATACAGTAAAATTACCTGCACCTGAGGATGCTGAAATTCAATCTCCAAAGCTCAAGTTTCTCCCCCAGCCCCTCTTACAGGGTTCGCTGCTCGTTCCTTTTAACCAGAGCCATATGTGAGCCTTGTCATCGTTTGTGAACCAGCTGCAGTGGAGCAGAGCAGGACCCTGCAGAGGAAGGGATCTGGGCTGCAGCCAGCCTGTGTTTTAAAGCAAGAGGCTGCCTGGGGTTTTTGTTCATCGCTGAGCAGCTTGTTGGGGTGGTACATGGCAAATAGAGTCAGGCTGAGTGATCGTTCACCATCAGCACAAGTAGGGCTGATGGGGAAGTAGTAGAGGAAGAGCTTGTGCTCTTGGGTGTTCTCTTCTCCAGGCTGCCCCAGCCCAGCTCTCCCAGCCTGGCTCCAGAGCAGAGCTGCTCCAGCCCTCGCAGCATCTCCATGGCCTCCTCTGCACTCACTCCAGATGAAGCCATAGGTGAGGTGAGGGAGGGGTAGCTCCCATTGGAGCAGGGAGCAACAGCAGTGTCCACAACCCACCAGCCATGAAGGCCTCTTAGGAGCTGCAGAGGAAAACCAGGTACCAGGCTCTTGGCCAGGGAGAAATCCCCTGCTTAAAACCAACAAGTTTCTGCACTCTTTAACCAGAAAGCCTCAGGGCCTGCCCCGTTCCCAGTCTCACCTCAGTGTCCCAGACCCCTGAAGGCACAAGCATGAGAGCAGGGGCAGCAGCAGCTGGAAGCAGGCTTTGAAGGAGCTCCTTGGAGATGAATTAAACCAAAGCCCATCAATTGTGCTGCCTGCTTCATCCCTCCTCCTCCCCTGGCCAGCAGCCTCAAGGCATGAGTTACAGCAGGAATAGCCTGCAGAGAGATGCAGCCATCTAATTACATCCCACTCCCCCTGCAAAGCAGATACGTACACACTGTGATCTCATATATCAATTTCATGTGTTTATTTAGGGACCTATAAAATCAGGTCCTTGAAACCATCTCTGGTAGCATCACATACTGCAAAAGGTGCTTGGATCCCACCTGCAGCGCTGACCTGTAAAGCCTCTGCTGTCTTCACAGCTTTTTCTTTGCTGAAAGCTTCTTGGCATTTCTGGGATGCTTCCCTGATCCATAGAATCACAGAATTCCGGACTGGTTTGGGTTGGAAGGGGACTTAAAGCTCATCCAGCCCCAACCCCTGCCGTGGGCAGGGACACCTTCCACTGGACCAGGCTGCTCCAAGCTCCATCCAACCTGGCTGCCCTGCCCCATCCATCCTCCTGACCATGGCACAGTGGCAGGGGCCTTGGGAAAACAGCCGTGGTCCTTAGGTCCCTGGATTATCCTGTGCGGGAAGGCAGCAATGGGTGCTGTGGGCAACCAGCATAGAGACCTGATGCTCCCAGCATCCCAGATCTGCCTCTCCAAACTGCCTCCCTGCAGGAATTAGCAGCCAAGAGCACAAGGGTGGTTCTGTGCAAAGCCACAGCCAGGAGGGTTGCTCAGAGCAGGGATAACACCCTGCAGGGATTTGTCTTTCCAAGGGAAACACAAACAGCCATTGACTGCTAAACTGGCCCTAGGGCAAACTGGGGGCTCTGGGAAAGGCTGTGTAAGGGCAGGCTGCTCCCCACAGGCTCCAGTGCTCCCATCAGCAGGTTCCTCCTTCCCTGGGAGCTGTCTGTGGGATGAGGCAGGTGGAGAGGGGTGCTCCAGGGATGCTGCAACCCACCAACGGAGCACCCTCCCCTGTGCCAGTGCTCCTTCACACCACTGCTGCTCCCTGTTGTAACCCCAAATCACTGCAGCTCCATCACCCTGTGCCCCCCGGTACCCAGCCAGGCCGAGGTGAGGGCTGCCCATACTGAAAGCACAGTACTTAAGGAGAGGTCAGTTAAAGTTTAATGGTCACAGGAATACATCATTCCCTCCACTTCATCAAGCAGCAGCCATTGCTCACGATAAGCAGGAAGGATGGCTCGCATCCCGGTGATAAAAAGGCAGGATTGCTCCCAGTTCGGGAGATAAGAGCACGCTATAAAAATTGGATGTTTTGTACCATGTTCAGCTTGAGACAACTTTTACCTTGTGGTGATAGCACAGCAAGGGGGGGGATCAGGGCAGTGCCACACCAGGACTTGCACTGAGATGTTTATGATGGGAGATACAGCAGAGATGAGTTTATGGCCAGTGGAGAGGGGCAGGAAGCTCCTTCTGCTTATAAACCCAGTGGGGAATTTGGGTGGCAAAGCGCCTTTCTAGGGACTGGGGGTTGCAGAGAGAGAGAAAACACCCTGAGGTGCCTGGAAAAGACCTTGTGCTCATTTCTGGTACCCCACGGCCTCACCTTACCCCAAGCATGGCATCACCATTGCTTGCTCATGGCTAAGCTCTGCAAAACATCCTTGTTGGGGGTCAGCACACAGGGCTCTGCTAGCAAAGATCATAGGATCCCAGACTGGTTTGGGTTGGAAGGGACCTTAAAGCTCATCCAGTTCCAACCCCTGCCATGGGCAGAGACACCTTCCACTAGAGCAGCTTGCTCCAAGCCCCTGTGTCCAACCTGGCCTTGAGCACTGCCAGGGATGGGGCAGCCACAGCTTCTCTGGGCACCCTCACAGGGAAGAACTCCTGCCTTGTACCCAGCCTAAGCCTCCCCTGTCTAAGTTTGAACCCAGGTTTAAGTTAGGCCAAATGAGGGCACAGGGCACGGCTGCTGCCTCGGGGCCACATTGAACCTGCTGTGCCCAATGCTCTGCACACCCCAGGGCCTCCAGGGCTCATTCCCTCAGTGCCAGCAGAACCCCTCTGTCTGCGTGAGCCAGGGAAGCAGGGCAGGGGGCTCTCAGCAGTCTATAGCTGAGGACAGGCTTACCCCAGGCTGTGAATGGTGAGCAGCGCTCCCACCATCCCCCTGCTGCACTGCTGTGCCCTTCCCAGAGCATCTCAAGGAGAAGCAGGCGCACAGCAAGATCCTTGCAGTGGTCTTAACCCATCCTCTACCCCTATGGACGTGTGTGCTGCCATCAAAGCAGCTGGGGGAGAAGCACCCCTGAAGGCACTCAGGTCATTGGTGCTTGAGGCAGTCAGGGATGGGTGTTGAAGCCTTAAGGGCTCTGAGTTTCAGCATCCACCTGCATTTACTCCCCATGGCCTTGCTCAGCCCAAGGGAAACAAGGTTTGGGTTTCCCTTCCTTTTGTCATTTCAGTGCCCCTGCAGCAGTTTGGGGTTTGTATCTCAAGGTGCTGGTGCCACCAGTGGATGGGGATGGGGATGAGGAGCAGCCCAAAGGTCTTCACCAGCCTCTGCTGCCCCTGCCATGGTGGCAACGCCTCTGGGCAGCCCCCGAATCCATTTCCATGGAGCACTGGGTGAATCCCCTGAGTCCTGGGCAGCCCCATCCTCTTTCTCACCCAGGGAGATGACACCTCCATTGGGTATGCTGTGGGTGCAGGACCCCCATCCCATGTGAACCCCTGGAGCAGGGACCCATCCACAGCACATGCACTGATGCTCTTCCTTTCAATGCGCTTTCATCACCACTCCCTTCCACAGCCCCTAGGGTAGGATTCATCCCATGGGAGCAGCGGCTCCCAGTCCTGCCTGGGATGCGGAGCAGTGTGGGAGGAGTGGGATGCTCCTGCACCAGGGAGGGATATCACTGCTGCCTCCCCCTTTCCTACCTCAAAGGGAACCAGTTTCCTCCCATAAAGAATTAGTCCGAAAAACCCTGTTTTAGGAAGACCTTGGATCATGTAAAGATTCAAGTAGCATTGAGTGAACTAGAAAATCAAGTCCTGTACATCAACTTATAAAACACCTACGTACAAAAGAAGGAGGAGAGAGAAAAGAGATGACAGGTCAGTGCAATGGACGAGGCGGTGCAGGGATGCTCCTCCACCCCGTAACCTAGGACCTCGCTTGGTCCAGGCACCACCATCCTGCATCTCCATGCACCACGGAGGTGCGCCCTCATCTGTCTGTCCATCCATCCATCCATCCATCCATCCATCCATCTATCCATCCATCCATCCATCCATCCATCATCCATCCATCCATCCATCCATCCATCCATCCATCCATCCATCCATCCATCCATCCATCCATCCATCCATCCATCCATCCATCCATCCATCCATCCCCTGGCTCTAGAGGCTCTGCAGCCGCACGATCAGGTCATCCTCCTTGTTCTTCAGCAGGAACTTCTCACAGGCTTCAAACGTGGCACAGAAGGCAGAGGAGAGCCCCGCCACGTTGGTGGTCACGTAGTTGAGGTACCCGGGGGTCGCCTGGTTGTAGTAAGCCACCTGTAAGGCACAGCAGAGAGTTACAGGGGCACATGGAGGGCAGGGAGCATCCCCGATGGGGCGCAGGCAGCAGCATCGCACCTTGCTCATCTCCTCTGACTCCGGCCATATGCAGAACCCCGAGCAGATCGTCTCCCCCCGCGTGAAGCTGGCAGTGGCAGGGTGGGTGGGCAGCGTCACCGACCGGAAGGCCACCACGTAGGGGTCCCTGGGGAGGGAAGGGCCCGGTGAGCCGGTGCATCCCAGCCGGAGGGGTGCAGGGGTCAGGGTTGGGCGCAGTTACCCCTTGCTGCAGGGTTTCCGTCGGGATGCCAGGATGACAAAGTCCTGCAGCTTGTTCTCGGAGCTCAGTGTCTGGCTCACCACGTGGTAGATCACATCGTCGTCGTCTACTTGCTGGACCAGCTCAGCACTCCTAGGAAGCAAGAGGGACCAGGCAGGGAATGGAAAACCAGAGAAACACGGAGGTCTCACCCATTGACAGCTCAACACCACCAAAATTGGTGTTTCCTGCAGCAGTGTCCTATCACTGCAGTCCCTAATGAAGAGTCCCTCCCCAGCATCCCTATAGGCCCCCTTCACATACTGGAAGGCTGCTATGAGGTCTCCACGCAGCCTTCTCTTCTCCAGGCTGAACAGCCCCAACTTTCTCAGCCTGTCTTCATATGGGAGGTGCTCCAGCCCCTGCTCCCAGGAAAGCCCAAAGGGACATTCACCACCAAGCCTTAAACCCATGGACACAGCTGTTGGAAAGGGCATGGAAAACCTGGCAGCACTCACAGGTAGTGGCTGTCCCACTCGTGCCGGCGCCGCAGGTCGGAGAGCAGGGAGAAGGCTTGGGAAGCAGCGATGCGGACGGACATCTCGATGCGGAAGGAGAGGAACTTGTCCTCCTCCAGTGTGTACATCTGCACCTTGGGGAGCGCAGAGCATGGGCTGGGACACATCCATCACCACCAAGCCCCCCCGTTAACCATGATTTGGGGGTGAGAAGCAGCTCAGGGGGACGGGGCAGGGTTTGGTACCTTTTCCTTTTCTCTGGCCAGTGCCCAGTTCGCTTTGGCCACGAGCATCTTCAGTGCAGAGACGTTGTTGTAGCTCAGATAAACCTGGGGCAGGGGCAGCGTGTCAGGGGCAGGGAAAGGGGGAGCAGGGAAAGGGGGAAAAGGGGGAGCAGGAAAAGGGGGAGCAGGAAGCAGTCACTCTGCAGGGCATCGCTTACCTTGTTGCTTTGGTCCCAGGGCACAGATAATGGCACTTCGGTCTGTTTGCAGGAGACCACATATTTTCTGCAGGAAAGGAAGGGTTTTCCTTACAGTGGGACACAAACCACTCATAGACTATTCCTGAACCCCATTGGTGAGCCCATCCTCCTCCATCCTCGCATCCCATTCGCTTCTCCTGCTCACCGGTCCAGCCGAATCTTTTTCCTAGCACTGGCTTCTCTGTACCTCCTCTCTCCATCCTGATGAATAGGAAAAGACCATTAGGTTAGTAGGAGAAGGAGGGGAAAACCCTAAAACGCATGTCTTTTGGGGGAGTGGGCAGAACATTCCGCAGGGAAGGGCTGGAAGGTGCTCACTGGCAGCGATGGTTAGTGATGAGCCATGAGCTGTGTCAGCATTGCTACTGTGCTGTGATTAAGCAATAGGCACTGGCACATTAGGAAAACCCCCTTGCTGTGGCTGCAGAGCTGCAAACAGCCACTGAAACCCCAATCCCATCCCCTGGCACATACAAATGGCCCCTCCTGGGGAAACCAAACCACCCTAAAAGCAGCTTGTTCTAAAGACAGCGCTGGGGCAGTGTTGTAAAGCAAACGGGCTCTCCTGGATGTGAGATGCTCTCTGCAGGGTGGGAGAAGAGCCTGAGTTTTAAGGCATCAAAACCACAGGGAGGTGGGCACAGAGCAGCCAAAGGGAAGGCAATGGCATCGCTCGCTCATGCTGTGAGGCACCCTGAGACATGCAGGTGTTTGCTTTGCTGCTGTGCTCGTGTGACAGGTTTCCTTCACCACTGATCCAAATGGCAGTTACTGGTTAGGATGCTCTGGGAGGTAAAAGCAACCTGGGTGGTTTGCGTTCTTTCCCCTGTACGATAGAAAAGAGCTGGGACTTGCAGGCAGTGTTCTGCTCAGCCCTGCATGGCAAATACATCTCCATCTCTGCACGGGCAAGGGGTTCATTTTACTATTAGTTATACCGAGCAACCCACTTGCTCTCGAGCAGCTTCCTTCCCATCATCACAAAACTGGGCTTGCTCCGCTGTGAATCTCAGGGCTAAGTGGGAGCCCCCTGCCCCTGTGGTGGGGAGAAGCCAGCCCTGCCCTTCCTTACCCCCTGCTCGGGTGCCAGCATGGGCAGGGAGCGGGGCCGCCCCTCCTGGTCCAGCACCACGAAGGTCATGAAGGCGCTGTTGATGTGCCTGCGGCTGATGGACATCTCCTGGCCGTACGCCTCGGCGCAGACCCCCACCTCCATGCTAGGGGGGCCAGAGAGAAGGGGTGAGGGTGTGGAAGGCACCAGGAGGGAGGGATGGGGGCCCCCCATCACCAGCACCGACCTGTTTTTGAAGGCGTTGTTGACGATGGCTTTGAGCACCAGGCGGTCCCCGACCTGCGATGGTCCCCGAAAGTGGAACATCTCGATGGCCCGCAGCGTGGGGTGCGCATGGCACAGACGGCTGCGGGGGACAAGGGTTACCCACCAGGCATGGATCCATGCTCCAGCAGCCCTGTGCAGCTCCCCCGACCCAGACATAGACAAGGAGACCCCAAAAATGCCACCCTTTGAGTTCAACCACCAAAACCAGCCATGAGAAAGGGCAGTGAGGAGGCTCTGGTGAGCGTGGATCCTTCCCTGGGGTCCTCCAGCATCGTTAACCCATGGAATTCCCTGTACAGCATCCCCCGAGGGTGATGTGCTGGCCCCATCCCTTTGGTTATGTGTCCCCTTCAGGCACACCACCCCTCCATCCCAAATCCCTGCCGGATCACCTGGCTGCGATGGTGGCCACGTTCTCCATCCAGGCCATGATCTGCCCTCCAAAGGTGTTGCCCTGATGGTTGGCGTGCGGAGGCAGCACCAGCTCCACGCTCTCCACCCGTGTCTTCTCTGCCGGCACCGCCACGCTGCCATCCCGTGTCTCCAGCTCTGCCATGGGGGGAGAATGGGGCTCAGCCAGCGGGACCCTTCCCTCCTCTCCCCACGGCATCAACATCCCACACCTCCTGCTTGGGGGTTCGGGATGACGGGATGATCCCTACCCCTCCGTACCCAAGGCATTCCCAAACCTCTCACCATCCTTCCCAGCAGCATCCTGCTGAGGAAGCAGCAGCACCAGGGCTATTTTGGGGCTGGAAGCCTGGGCTGCAGGACACGGTACCGGTTTCACGGGGGCTGCGGGTGAGGAGGTCCTTGAGGGTGTCCTTGTGGACCAGGCGCATGCGGCGGCGCTCGGCAGCGATGCTGTGCTCTATCTTCTCCTCCTCTGTCTGTGGGATCAGCGGCTTCAGCGTCACCTGCAGAGGGGACATGGGCAGGATGGAGTCCCATTGTGGGAGAAGGCAGGGCTCCTTTGCGTGCTTATACATCCCACTGTATGTGTCAGAGCTGCGCTCCTCCTGGGTTATAGTACAGCTGCTTATGGAAGGGGAAAGGGCTCCTATAGACACACAGGGATCCCCAGGGAGGTGCCTGCAAGCATGGGATAAGAGATACCCATGAACCAACCATGCCATGATGGGAAGCTGACCATTTCCTCCATGCAGGGACCATTGGAGCCCCCCCCACCACCATCAGCCCCTCACCTTGTTGCCGGAGGAGCTGTGTGCCACGAAGGTGGCGTACGCCTTGCAGATGCTGTAGTGCTTCCCGCTGCACAGGTCCTCGTAGCTCACCTGGATGCCCACCTGGGAGAGGGGCACAGCATCCCTGAGAGCTGGCTCTGCTCCCCTGGGACCCACATCCAACAGGATCCCACAGCAGATCCAGGGGTTCGGAGCTGGGAACAGGCGCACAGCAAGGGGGATAGGGGTAGGGATAGAGGGGAAGGCTCCATACCAACCTCCATGCTGGAGTTAAAGGCTCGGTTCACTTTGGCTTTGATGTTGACAACCTGCCCAACGCTGGAAAACAGGAAGAGAGAGGACAAGGGGGTTATTGTGGGATGAAACCCATGGTCCTCCAGCACACAAGCCAGCGCCGAGCAGCTCCTCACCAAGGTGCCACCGTGTTAACAGTGCTGTGGTACAGGCTGCTTGGATGGTGGGGACCTGACAGCCACCTCCAAGGTGTGGGAGCCCATATGGGTCCAGAGCAGCAGTGAGATGTCACCCCACGTGCAAATGGGTGCGAGGTCTGGGGTGCTGCTGGGACACCGGAGAGGTGCAGAGGTGCCCAAGGCTTGCTTGGTGCCCCCACCATGTGCTCCTGTTCCTCCAGCCTCACATGTCCTGTTCTGCTCAATAGGGACACCTATAGGGTGGGTGCCATGGGTCCTCAGGTGATGGCAGCAGCAGCCCCAAAGCTTCAGTGCTCCCATCCCTTCTCCTCTCCAGGGCCTCCCAGCAGCAGGCACCTTGGGATACTGGGAGCGGGCAGGAGGCAGCATCCAGCCAGGGGCATTTTGCACCATCTCTTACATGAAACATCTGCTGGCAGCAGGAGCTCTGCTCTGTGCCTTCAGTAGGCTTCAGAGTGAACACAAGGACTGCTTCAGGTCTGCACCCTGGTACCGACCAAACGCAGCTCAGTGGTGGCACTGACAGCGAGCAGTCTTTATCAAATCAGGAATATTCCTTATATCCTAAGGGAGACCAACTGGGAAACTCAGTGGGAAAATAAACCCTATAACTGCTCCTGCGAGTTTGAAGCGTAGAGGACTCAAACCCAGAGGCGAGGAGGAGTCCCCGTGTGCCTCAGCACCCTAACTTCCCCCTTGTCCCAGCGCATGACACCCGGCTGGAGACAACCATCACCACCTCAGCTACTCGACACTGGCTCTGGCTGGAGCAGGGGTGGCACAAGGCTGGGATGATGCCTTTACCCAGCCCCTGGCATGGACCCCGTGCCCACCAAGCGTTAGTGAGGTTACACGAGCAGCCTCTATCCACCTCCCGGGCCCTGCGTGTCAGTGGGGTTACTGCTCCCGACTCACGCAGCGCCGCGTTAGGCTCTGGGGCTGCCCCGGTCCGTACCCGACACCGCTCCTCCCGTCCCGCCGCCCGGGAGCGTTTAGATGCGGCTGGCTGGTGCGAAAAGAGAGAGCAAGAAGGGGGGGAGAGGGTTAGAGGCGATGGAAGCGGTCGCAGGGATGCTCCAGGTGGGTTTGCAGCAATGGGCACGCAAGGCAGCCCCAGGGGTACATAGCGCAGCCCCCAAACGCTTCGTCTTGTCTCTCCTTCTGAAGCCAGTGCCATAACAGCCACGCAGACCTCAGCGCAGGGGTATGTGAAATCCTCCTGGGAGGCTGCGCTTCCATGCATGCACAGGGGAGGAAGGGTGAGGAGCATCGGTGAGTTTTGTGTCCAGTGAGCCCCCAGGCACCGACAGCTCCTCCCTGCCTGTCCCTTGCAATAGGAGGGTGGCAGAAAGCACAAACAGCAGAGAAGGAGGAGAGCTGAGAGCAAACCCTGCCCGAAGCTGCTGTGCTTTCAAAGAGCTCTGTGAGACATCCCTGCAGCCGCATTGAGAGGGACACCAGGGAGTGGGATCTGAGCCAGGAGCAGCACAAAGTCCTGACCCCTTGGAGCAGTGCCTGACTCACCCCCGAGCATGGACAAATGCCTTCCAGGGGTTGATTTCATGCCCTGAAGCAGGGATTGGGGCTGTTCTCCCAACCCCAAAACCTATGGGGAAAAGCTTCCCAAGCAAAGCTGCCCCAGAAGCTGGGGCGCTCACTGAGCCTCCTTGGAGCAGCACACTGACCCCAGTGGTGCCACCTCCATCAGTGTCACAGGAGGTGCACAATGTCCCCATGCCGCGGCTTTGGTATGCAGCAGGGTGATGGGCAGCTCACCCGGCACCACGATGTGAGATGGTGGGAGTGGGAGTTTAGTGTTTCCTGGGGATGAGAGTGAAACCCAAGAGCTGGAATTCCTGGCACCAAACAAACCAGCTGACAGCCTGGGACCCCAGGACCAGCCCTGTGTGCCCACACTGGCCTCTGACCCACAGTGGGGAGCTACTGGGCAGCATGGACCCTATAGAATCATGGTTTGTGTTGGAAAGGACCTTAAGATCATCCAGTTCCAACCCTCTGCCATGGGCAGGGCAGCTTCCACTAGAGCAGCTTGCTCCAAGCCCCATCCAGCCTGGCCTTAAAGGGATGGGGCAGCCACAGCTCCCCTGTGCCAGCATCTCAGCACTCTCACAGGGAAGAACTTCTTCCTTATATCCAACCTGAATCTCCCCTGTTTAAGTTTTAGCCCACTAAACCCTACACTGCATGGCTTGCTCACGGCCAGCAGATCCCCAGGGGATGCCATCAGTGCACTAAAACCCTGCACTGAACACCCAGAGAGCCCCCTGAGATGGTACCCAGGGGGTGAGCAGACGGGCATCCCCCTGCACAGTGGGAATGTATAAAGATGGGTGGCAGCACCTGGAAGGAGCAAACCTTGGGCCTGTAAGATCTAGGCTTGATGGGAATGGTCTCAGTGGATGAGGGCAGATCCCTGGCAGGGTTCACGTCCCACACGCCCAAGAAACCTCCCCTGCAACACAGCAGCATGCACTGGGGTGGGCACCTCCGCAGGGGCAGCACCCAGGACAAGCTTGGGAGGGGATTGTGGCCAGGCAAAGCTCATCTCACCCAGCAACATGCAGGGAGGTCCCATTCCCCAGCACGCAGGCACCCCCAGGGCTGCTGCAGCAGCATGACGACGTGCCAGAGCCAAGTTTTCCAGAGCTGTGTGTTGAACAAAGCCAGGGAGGAGCTGGGATGGAGGTGGAGGGGGGGGAATACCGGGAAGCCAACCCAGTAGGAGCTCCCCAGGCGACCAGACAGCAGATAAATCAGAGCAGACAGTCAGTCCACAGCCCTGCGGTGGAGCCGGAGCCTCAATCCCTGCTTGCCCTCTGAGCATCTCCTCCCCTCCCAAGCACGCTGCTCCCTGCCCCTCTCTGTTTCACACTGCACCCAGCAGATGGGGTGGAAAACCTCCCCTTTCCCCGCACATGCATTACTATTTACCTAATGGTATGCTCAAAATAGATGTCATCCATGGAAGCTGTGACGCAGGGGCAGCCAGCGTGTCTCTCAGCTGGAAAGGAAAAGCAAACTGCATCAGCAATGTGCAGCAACACGCAGAGAGGGTCCTCTGCCCCTCACCGCTGCCTCAGGGCTGGTGTCATCAATGAAACCCTGCCTGATGTCCCTTTCCCTGCTCCTGCTGCGTTGGCAGGGGGCAAGAGGAGGGTTTGGGGCTTCTACAATGTGGGCTTGCAGATGATTTTAGGGTTTGGAGGGCGTGTTGTAACTAGGAGGCACCTTGCCCTGCCGTTTGCCTTCCCTCCATGCCTGCAGCCACTGTGGGGATCCACAGGCAGCTGCTAACATCACCCCATACACAGCAAACACATACAGAGCCCTGCTGGTCCAGCTTTCTCTTGGGACTCCAGGAACCTCAAGCTGCCAAAATGCCTTGGGAACCTCACCCCTCTTCCTGCCATAACCCCGCTGTGCTTGGTGACCTGCGATACGTTGATCTGGTGAGCTCCATCACTTCCATCACCGAGCAGAGGAGCTCAGCCCTGTCCATCAGAGCCCTCTATCCGCTGCCGGGATGCCAGGGATGTCACCACCCCGGTCCTTGCCGTGCCCTGCGCACCAGGCAAGGCAAAGGGCAGTGTTTGGGAAGGAGCAGGCATCGGGGCTGATGTGTCCCCAAGCAAGTGTGCGTGCTGCAGCACACGTCTCCTCCCCTCTGCTCCTCTCCCGTTTGCTCTCTGATTACTCAGCACAAGGCATGACGTGGATCCCCAGCTCCCAGGGACGGCGCTGGACCACTGGGCACGGTGTGGATGAGCACCGGGTCCCTTCCACCGCATCGGGTGGGAGCAGAGGATGTCTCACCGGAGAGGCAGGCGGCCGTGTCGATCCACTTGAGGAGCTGGCCGATGCTGAGCTCGCCGCGGTGGTTGGTGTGGCACGGCAGCACCAGCTGGCTCATCTGCACCTCCGTGGGGTTGCGGGGATGCGAAGGGCTCGCCATGGCCCCCGCTGCCTCCTCCCGCTCCCCTGGGTCCTGGGCACACGGCGGAGAGGTGGAGCCCTGCGGGGAATGAGAGCTCTGGTTTACCCAAACCGGAGGGAAATCGTTGGGAACACAGTGACCCACGCAGCCCATTGGAATCCCAGCAATGCACAGCCCCAGGCATCACCAAAACCCACCCAGCCCTCACCGAAGACATGATGCTCAAAGCCAAAAAGGAACAAAACCCCTGTAAAAAGAGCCCCAGGAGGGATTCCTGCAGCTTTCCAGCCCATTTCCCTGCCGTTTCCCCCTGAAAACCCTTCCCAAAGTCCATCAACTCTCTGGGAAGGCATTTTGCTCCCCCAACAGCTTCATCTTTAGGCTGCTGCAGCAAAGGGTGGGTTTGCACCCCCAGAGCAGGCACGCAGCAATGCTCCACATCTTCCCCCATCACCCCCTTTGCCAAAGGAAAAACCAAAAGCAGGTTTCCCTGCCTGGTACAAGCAGGGTCGGGGGGGAGCAGCCCCGGTTTGGGGTTGTTTGCTGTGCTCCCGTGTTGGCTTTGCAGCTTGCTGGGCACGGAGCTGCTGCCCCCCAGTAGCAGGCTGGGAGGGAGAGGTTGGTACTGGGGCTGTGCGGGCAAGGAGAAGAGCTGATTTGATGTCAAACCAGGCGTGTTACACAAGGGGTGAACTCAGTTACCCCCGTGAGTAATGGAGGAGACACGAGGAGCTGCGTTACAGCCCTTCCTTCCTCTTCCAGCTCCCACCGCGGCTCCCATTCAGAGCACTTGTTGCAGGAGCCCTGCTGCAGCCGCTTCTTTGCCCTTTGCTTTGCCCAGCCTCTTTTAAAGACGGGTTTCTGCTGCAAACGAAGCTTCCCCGAGTACCCTGAGCTCCCCGCCTCTCAGAATAGCGTTTTCCTCTAGCGGGTCTAACCTCTGTTTCCATAGCTACTGGTACACGACATCCCAGGAACGGCACAGACCTTGCCTTGGCAGCGATGCCGGTGAACGCAGCAAGCCAAGCCTGCGTCAAAGAGCCCCCCATCCCGCAGTGGGATGGATGCTTGGCTTCAGTGGGTCCTCAACCCCTTTATGAGCCCCCCGGGCTGCTTCCCGTCGTGCTGAGGTGCCTCCATGAGTACCACGGAGCTATTTCGGGAAGCAGGCAGGCTCTGGGGGACGAGCCAGCAATGCAAAGCGCTCCAAAGCTGTCTGCTGTGAAGCGAGCAGCCGCCCGGCCGGAGATCCCACCGGTGCCTTTCCCATCACTTGCCATCACTAAATGGTAGGGAAAAAGCCAGCATCCCGTGGGAAGAGCCCTGATCATGCAGTAGCCAGCAAGAGGCTGGGGATGCTGATGCGGAATGTGTGGGGAGCAGATGCAACCAGAGCCAGTGCGAGCAGCTGGCAGCACGGCCTGGGTTAGTAGCCACTGGCACAACAGGGTTAGTTGCACGGCACAGGGGGTACCTGGAAGCCATTGCAACAGAAGCTCAAGATCTCCTCAGGGATTACTATATTCTCCTTGACCATTTTTAAGAGACACCTGGAAAGGAGAAGAATGGCTCCAGTTATAGAAGGACCGGCCGAGATGGGGATGGAGGATGCTGGTGGTGGTCCCCTGGTGGGGACGATGCCGTGTGTGGGGTGGGTTGTCACACCTCGGCATAGAATCACCGAATGGGCTGGGTTGGAAGGGATCTTAAAGCTCATCCGGTTCTAACCCCTTGCCGTGGGCAGGGCAGTGTCCCCCTGACTCACACTGATGTCCCTCCCTGTGTCACCAGTTCCTCAGCAGCACCCACCAAGGGTACTGCTAGATCCGAAATGGAGAAGAGCAGCCCCAGGGCTGGTGCCTGCCATTCCTCAGGGGTCAGGTCCAGCGCTCACCAGCTGCAATGGAAAGAGTCCCAGCTATTCTGGGGTGCTGGACCAGACCCAGTACACGGTGCTGTGTGCGATCCCTGCATCGCTGATGCTGCGTTGATACTTTCCATGTTGCTTCAAGTGACAGAGGGCTGTGTCCTGAAGCTGCCCTGCCCCCTGTGGTGACAACACCGTGGTCACAAGACATCCAGGAGCACATTTTTGGCAGAGGCAGGCCTCACACTGCGTGCAGGTGGTACCAGGGGCAGCAAATGGGAAGGACCCATCACTGGCAGCACTCCCTGCACCGACCCCTCTGCCTATGGAGCTCTGGAATCCATCCCCAAGGGCATCATGTGCCCTTGGGTGCCCACGGGCTCCCTGGCCACATGCACTGCGAATGGGTGCTGGCTGGACACGCTGCAAGGAAGGCAGCACGGGAGCTGCAGCAGAAAAGGGTTTATGTTTAGAGTCTGATTGCAAACACAACACTGATGGACCCTCAGTGTGTCCCAGCAGAAGTCCCTCTATTGTGTGTGTATATTGTATCTATATTGTGTGTACATTCCCCAGTGTGTGGGACCGACTGATTTTGGTCAAAACAGTGGAAGCTGCAGACTTGCCTCCTGCACAGTCAGCCCTCCACAGAGCTGGTGCCAGGCATCACACGTGTCGTGGCTGGTGTGAAACGAGGGTGCTCAGAGCACCGATGGATGCAAGCAGCACCAGGCTTCGCTTCCCCAGCCCCACGACTCCTCCACTCTCGCTGTTGAGGCTTGGAGCTTGCTCACAGCTCATCCACCCTTGCAAGAGCCTGGTGCAAGAGTCACCCTCCTGTTTAGCAAGACGGGTTCGCTCCTTGGGTTTGCTTTAATGCAGGCGCAAGGTCACGGTGGTGCATTGGCCCCATCACACCCCACAGCCACCAACACCAGAGAGCATGCAGAAACCCAAACCTGCTCCTGGCTCTGTGACTGTGTCACCTTGTCCCATGGGTTGGCTTAGAGGGAGGGAAAAAAAAAGGCTGTCTGCTTTGGATCCATCCCTGCTGCTATTTCTGAGGTGGCCCCAGCCCATGCTTCCCACCCCAGGAGCCCAGGGAAGAGGAGCGCCCCAGCCACGCGTTGCCAACACGCTCCAGGGACCTGGAAGCATTGAGCTGGTGGGTATTTATAGAGTATTCTGTTATCAAAACTAAGCGAGCAAGTGTCTGTCCTCATTAAAATCCTCAGCCTCACTCAACTGTCACATTTTTAAAGCTGTTGACTGATGCAGCCCGCAGGTCACCATGGCAACGGGATGCGGTACCCAGGCGATGATGCTCTTACTCTGTCACCCCTCGAGTGACCCACTTCTACCCAAAAAAAGTTTGTATTAGAGAAAATAAAACAACCTTCCAGCAGAATGTTTCCCTTCCCTCCTGCCATGCTTGCTTCCAGTGCTGCTAAAGGCATAAGGCACAGAGCAAATGGGGGGTTGTAAGGGAGAGACACCCCAAATGGCTCCACAAATACCAGGGGAGAGAGACCCCAGAGCACCCCACTGCTCTCCTATACCCTGCAGCACCAAAGCATCCACAAGCTCTGGGGATGGTCTCTGCTGCCAAACTGGGTGCTGGCTTCTTGGGAAATCACCAGGGGACCACAAGTTTGGAGGAGCCTCCACTGCAAAACCCCCTTGGGTCCTGCAGCCCCAAGATGATGCTGGGCTGGGATGCAGAGAGGGGTTGCTCCATCAAACCCCTGATCCCGCTGGAAGGGGGGTGTTTGCTTTAATCACCCCAAAGCAGTGAATGGGAGGGAGAGGTGAGGATGAAGGTTGGATGGGGATCCTGGGTGCTGGGCTACGGGGAGCTATGGGCAGAGCGGGGCAGCTCAACACCTCGAGCAGCCCCTGCCTGCCCTCCAGAGCTCTCCCACTGCTGCACCCCAAATCCCCAACCCCCATTTTCCCTCTCCAGGCTCTGGTTTCCTACCCCAACCCCAGCCCCTCGGTGCATCCTTACCCCTCTCTGGGAGTATTTAAAATATGAAGAGGGGAGGAAAGCATCACCAATGAATTTCTCCTGGGGGATTATTGGTGTATAATTGAGCAATATCCATGGTAACAAGCAAATCTGCACGCCTTAACAAATTAACCTGACCTACTTTGGGTAACTCTGCCATCTCAATGGGGCAGTGGGGGCTCTCCTTCCCCAGGGACAGGGCCCACCAGTCCCACTGCCTACAGCAGCAAAGCCCCAGTGCTCCCATGGATAGGACGGACAAGGGGAGATGTCCCCTCCAGCAATGGAGATGGGCAGCACAGCTCAGGTCCATCACCCCATGCCTGACAGGATGGAGGTAGATCCTCAGGACAAGCCCCACAGCACTTGCTTGGCTTGGGGTACAGGGTGCCAGCTCCACTGTGGTGCCATTGGGATGGTGGCCCTGCTGGGATGAGAAGGACCAGATCCCAGGATCAGGGCATGGTGAGGAAGCACAGCAGCTCCCTGTGGTGGGTCTCGGCAGGATCCCAGCAGGGTGGCCAGCCCAGAAGAGAGACCAGGACACCCTGTGAGGGGTATTTTGGGACCACACGTCATTCTTTCCATAGGGTTTCATGAAGTGAAGCAAGGCATGGGGCCAGGAGAATGCAAACAAAGGCACCAGGGGAATGCAATAACTCCTCTTATGATGGTTTTACATCCACCACCCATAGGAAACCATCAGGGTGAGCACAGAGGAGACCCCTCCAGCCTCCTCTCGTGCTGCTCCACTGCTCAGCTTGGTGCTGGGTTACGCATCCACAGCCCCATCCATGCCCTACCCAGCCCCTATTGCAGCTCCTGGGAGGCTCCTTGAAGGGCTGGCTCTCATTTATCAGCGTGAGGGCAAAGTCCCCCCAAGGGACAAAGGTCCCTGACACCGCTGCCTCCAGGTAAGCCAAGTGTCACCCCTTTACCCTGCAAACACCCCCAGGACCAAACCCACAGCACACATTCACACCCAGCCCCGGCACCCCTGCCCTGCTGACCGCAGCTTTCCGGCCAGGAGATGGCCATAGCACTGGGATCACCGCCAAGCTGCAGACCTCCATCGTGGAGATCACTGCGGTCAAGGCCACCATGGTGGAGACCACCACAGTGAAGAGAGATCGTGATGGGACATTGGTATCCGTCCCGGTGGGCTTGACTGTGCTTGTCTCAGCCATGGTGATGGGGCAGTGGTCCCCACCGTGGTGACCACCACAGCATCACGCTACGTACCCCATCCCGCCACCCATGCTGCCCCAGCCAGCCCCAGCAGATCCCACTGCCCTCCCCAGCACAGCACCGTTCCCAGCAGCCTTGTACCCACACTTCCTGCATAAGTATCCCCAGTTTGAAGTGAAAACAGGCTGCTCAAGCCAAACCCCCCAGCACACCCAGGCAGACCTGGAGGGGTAGGAAAGGATGGCACCAGCTCCCTCCTGCATGCAGAGGGTGCCACGTCCCCCTCATTGCGCCCCCAGCAATGACCACAACGGAGCACAGCATCGAGAGGGCATCACCACCGCGGTGAGCACAAGGAGCTTCCACCCCACATCCTCCTCCCCAGCACCGGGACAAGCCACGGCCGGGCTTGGAAGCCTTTGCAGCAGCAGCAGCCACGGGCTCCTGCTCGCCCAGCCCCGGCGGTGTCCCCATTGTCCCCAATGCCCCCGGCCCTCACCTCAGCCAGAAGAAGCTGAGCATTTGCAGGCGGCAGCGAGGCGATGGCTGGCGCGGAGGAGAAGCGCGCAGACACCTGCGTGCGCGGCCGGCACCGCCGTGGAGGCCAAGGGCTGGCGCGGAGCCCCGGGCCGGAGGCCAGCGCACACCCCCTCCGCTTCCTTAAATACAGACACGCAGGGACCGCTCTTAAGGTAGCGCCCGGCAGATCCGCTCCCGCCTGGAAAATGGCCGGCGCTGCGGGAGGTTGGCTCCGGATGCTCCGGCTGCAGGAGGGATGCGCCCCGGAGCGCAACGGGAGGCACCGGTGTGGTACCCACTGCTCCGTGCAGCCGGAGCCGTGCTGCTCTCCACAGCGGGCACAGCCGGAGATGGGGCCCTGGGGTCCCTCTCCATCCCCATGCATCACCTCTTCTTCTGCCCCCTGTGCCCGGCTGCTCCCCGGCACTACATTAGCACCAGGCTCTTTCCCCCCCGCCCAGTTAAACCTGCCTGGAAACACTGGTTTTACTCCCCACTGTCACCAATGCAGGGCTCGCTGGCCAGGAAATCCTCCACAAACTTCTCCAGAGCCGCTCCAATCCGTGCAGCCGCTCCCTGGCCCTGCTGCCTTTGAAGTACCTGTATCAGGGCTTACAATAAACCCCTTCTCCTTTTTAATGACAAGGGAACAGAATGCCAATTGCTGTGTCATTAATGGTGCAGCCTACTGGATCTGGGGGGAGATGTTGTTCTCTTTGTATTTGATTTGTGTGCTTTTCATAAGTGAATCGGGGTAATCAACATACAGGAGCTTGATCAAAGCTGCCTCAAAGCGTTGCCAGTGGAAAAGCAGCAGTGAAGTAATTAAACTCAACAGGAAATAAGCCCTCACTACTTTGGGTTAATATGAATAACAAAGCTCTGGAACAGAGCAAATGCTCATGGGGGCACCAAGCATCAGTATCCGGGGTCCCAGAGACCCACATTTTAGGCTGGATGTGGGAAATGCTCCTCAAAAGCCCAGACCCAGGTGCAGGTGAGGTGAGACCCTCAGTTCCTCTGTGAAGGCTGAGCCAGGCAGGGATGGGGCTGGTGGCCCTACCTGGGGTGATGCTTGCCCATCAAGGGATGGGAGCCTTTGGGTGATGGAGGAGGCAGCTCCGCACTGAGTGATCGATCCCAGCATGGTGATGGAGGTTCCCTTTGGGATAGGACTGCTGCCCTGCTCTGACCAAAGGACTCTAACCCCACTGAGCGCTCACTGCTCAGCTGCTGGGATAAAACCTCCAATTCTTCACTGGCTTCTGAGAGCAGGGGAGGGTCCTCTGCTCTGCACCCACAACCTCTTCCGTGTCTTACAGGTAACTTTGCACACCAACATGCCATTAACTCCAGTCATTCCAGAACAGAACATCCCCTTTAAAACATTTTTCCTTCCTTGGGATAGTAAATAAGGTCATTTTTCACCAGGATGGTTCCTTGCAGCAGCCTGGGTGCCCTGCAAGCCACATTACAGCAAGTACACCAGTGGATCTCCCCACCTTTAGCACAGAGCCCCCATGCTGGGAAGCTCCTCCAGCATCCCTCCCTCCTTCGGACTGTTTGTTTCTGCAGCCAACCATTGGGATCAAGGCAGGAAAAGAGGCTCTTCCCCCTCCTCCGAGCCAGAGGGAACAGCACCATCACAAACACTTCAGATGCCTGACCCCGCTCAAGCCTCCAAACAGAAGTCACAAGGAGAGGGTTGATGTTTTCCAGGCCCAATTAGCACAATGCTGTCATTATGGGCTTGCAGTGGGTGTATTCCCCCAGCTCCCTGCCTGCATCCCTTCACCGTGACACCCAGTGAGCCCAGCCCCGGCAGGCTCCAGCTCCTTCCTCCTGATCCACCACCATATGCCCGTCTTCTACGGTTCTTTGGTGCATGATGCTCAGCGAGTGGATAATTAGCTAAATGAATTAATTGACATTCATACTTGTAATTAGCAAACGGTTACAAGCATTTATTCTCCTTGGGACAACCAGGATTTCTCAGGGACCGGCGTTAAAGATACTGGGAAATCGTTTGGAGTAAGTAACAAGGGTGCCTGCATTCTGCCATAAACAAGCCCGTGCAAAAGCAAAGCAGGCTGTGGAACGTGTTGGGAACGCTGCTCGGGAGGAGGAGGAGGAGGAGGAGGAGGAGAAGTTTCCAGCTTGGGAAGCACTGGTGTCCAGATGGGCGGCCTCCAGCCGGCAGCTCCCACCGGCTAACCCTTTCCACCCCCAGTTATAGCAGAGAGTAAGGCCCCAGCAGCGGAGCCTGCTCATGCAAAGCAATGGGAATTGGATGTCAGGAGTGTTAATTAAACCATTAATTACTGCTGAGAGAGAGAGAGTGGGGGGAAAGAAGTGGCCTATTGGTTTCATTGCTTCCTGGAGTAGTTGGAAGGATAAATTGTGCAGGGGCTGTGGAGGATGTGAGGGCTGGGATGAAATGTGGGGTTTCTCGGCTGTTAAAGGGATGTTGGTTCCCCTGCAGCCCCACAGAGCCTGAAGTGAGACCCACACCAGCAATGGGCCTGGTGGAGACCAAGCCAAGCCGCTGAGGGCAGCATCACCAGCCCTAAACTGGCTGCTGTGCAGGGAACCACAATGCCAGGGGCTCGGAGATGCTTTCAGGGTGCCCCATGCTGCTCTGTGTGACCCCGCTGCGTGCCATGGGATGCACCCATCACCCATGAGCCCTCAGCCACCCAAACTCAGCACCCAGGGTGGTCTGTGCAGGGGATCCCACCCTGAACAAGTAACAGGGGTGGGAGGACGGTGCTTGCAGCATCCCTGGCTCCGGGGGGACAAAGCACATCTCCCCCTATGCAGGATGATGGTGTGGTACCCAAAGTTGGGCTGCAGGTCTCTCCTCCCTGAGAAACACCCTCCAAATCCTGGTGCTAGTGGGAAGAAGGGAGAGCAGCACGGCAGGCAACGCTATGCAAGTGGCTCCTTATGGAAAAGGATGGGGGGAATGATGCTAATGCACCAGCTCCATAAATCAACCCCTCGTGTTGTCCTGCTGCATCAGGAGCTGCTGTGATGCTGGGGACAGCCACACTGTGGCTGCACCGCCTGCATGGGCTGGGGGTCCTGTGTCCCCCCAAGCACTTGGAATGCTCTGCCCTGGATCACCCTCCTGCCTTGATGCCCTTTGCTACCCCATTGCAGGGTGATGGGAGAGGGCGATGGGGTGAGAGCAACCGGGGCCACGCTAAGAGAGGGGCTCACCCCCTGCTCCCGGCATGGGGCTGGGACCACATCACCGTGCCAGGAGCCCGGCTCAAAGCTGTCAGAGCGCCCCATTTCCCCACAGCCCTTGGAGCTTAGAGGCAGGGGAAGGTGAGGGGGGAAGCAAGCAGTGCTCAGAAGGGAGGCAGTTGGAAAGGCTGGGCCGAGGAGCTGTAATGCCACCCTTTCAGCTCTTACACACCCCGGTAAGCTCTCAAACACACAGGCTGCACCAGGGAGCAGGGAGGCCGATTCTTTTCTTTAGCTGCAGGCAAAAGAATTCAATTACAAGGTAACCTATTTTTCAACTCCTCCATTGGTATTTACTTAATTTCCTAAGGCCGGCTCGCCCGCCCCACAGCAGGGGGAAGGAGGAACCAGGAGCTGTTAGGCTAAGCCGGGCTCTGCTGTGGGGTTTGGGTTGGGTTGAAGTCAAATGGTGAAGCGCACAGCAATAGTGGTGGGGTGAACACTGGTTGGTGAATGGGTGATGTGGGGCATCAGTGCAGCATCCGGCCGTGATGGGGAGCATCAGGAGCAAGCTGATGGAGCTCAAGTGTGATGGGGAACGGCTGAGGGACCTGGGTTCAGTCTGGGGAAGAGAAGGCTCAGGGGGGACCTTATTGCTCCCTACAACTGCCTGACAGGAGGATGGAGCCAGGAGGGGCTGGGCTCTGCTCCCAAGGAGCAAGGGATGGGACAAGAGGAAACGGCCTCAAGCTGCACCAGGGGAGGTTTAGATGGAGCTGAGGAACAATTCCTGCCCCAGTGGGTGCTCAGGCACTGGAACAGGCTGCCCAGGGTCACCATCCCTGCAAGTGTTCACACACTGTGTAGATGAGGCCCTCAGTGCCATTATCTAATGGTAACCAACATTACCTTGGCAGTGCTGGGTAATGGTTGGACTTGATGATCCTAAAGGTCTTTTCCAACCTGGTTGATTCTGTGATTCTTTGCTTCTATGAGGAAAGGCCGGCGAGGAGCAAGGACCTCTGGGGAAGGTTTGTGTAAGTGCCAAGAACAGGCCTGCGGCTGGTGGACAGTGCAGGTGGGGACTGCAGGAGAGGGGGAATAGGGATAGCCTTAAGGGGGCCGTGAGGACAGGGCAGGCCTGGAGACCCATGAGAACAGGGCCAGGAGCAGCGGGACATCCTGCGGGGCACATGGGCACAGGGGTGCACGGCCACAGGGACACGTGTATGGCTGGTAGGGGGGCACAGGACACGGGGAGCACAAGGACACCCGGCGGGGGGGGGGCACACGGGCACAACGTGCCGGGACGGACGAGCGGTACCAGCGCCGCCGTGCGCCGCCAGGGGGCGCCGTTGCTCCGAGCGGCCGCGCTGCTTCCCCCCCCACACCCACCCCACTCCCCACGGTGCCCGCGGCCGCTTCGGCTCGGCCCCGCTCGGCTCGGCTCGGCTCGGCTCGGCTCGGCTCGGCTCGGCTCGGCCCGGCCCGCCCGGGCGCGGCCTTCCGGTGGCTGCGGCCCATCCCGCCGCCGAGGCCGAGGCCCGGGCCAGGGGCGGGCGCGGTGCTTCGGAGCCCTCCGGCACCCCCGGGCCCCTATCGGCGGGGGAGAGAAGGGGGGAGAGGGGGCGTGGCCAGCGCTCCGCCAATCAGAGCGCGGCGGTTTCAAGAGGCCCCTTCCGCGCCCCGCCCCGCGCGGCGCCGCGCTGCTCGGCGGGGGGGCGGCCCCTGGCGGAGGGGGCTCACACACACACGGCGCGGCGGCCGCGTGGTCCCTGTGCCCGCCCGCCCCGCTGCCTGCCCGCACCAGCGGCCCCTGGGGCAGGGGAGGACGGGGTGGGGGGGGATGGATATGCAGCCTATGGACCGGGAATACAGGACTCCGCGCCCGGCCTCATGGGGACATCCCCGAGCCCTGTATAAATAACGCGGTGTTATTAATTAGGCAGTTTAATTAATTACGCGCATAGAGCAGCTACCAGCGGATTGCTGCTGCTCCGTTCCTACGCAAAACGCGT